AGAGTTTTTTTCACAGCGAACAAGGCTAAAGTTGATTATAAAGACATTGGATGCCCTACAACACTGAAGCTATGACCCAAATAGCTGTTCCAATTGACCATATCAGGGACTATAAGCAACTCTCCTACCCCATTTGGTTGATTTTTGCACAGAACCACACCAGCTGCGCCAAACTAAAAATGACAAATAAACAGAATTTGGTTATGGAAGCTTACCTCCATGCAGATGCTAGGATGTGGTTCGAGAGGTTCTTCTTTGCCATGTTCATCAACTTTTATCCTATGTGATATTTCAATCTGTTTATAAGACAACATACAGGATATTTTATTAGTCAATGGGTTGCTTTTGGAAAGAGGTCGTGGATGCACATAAAATAAATAAATATAAATACACAAATTTCTATCTAAAGCTTGGCACGGACTGCACTACAAATGCAACTTCGTTCCCTGTGAGCGCTGCAATGCGAAGCCGCCTGCTAATTGTCGGTGGACGGATCGTCATTAAAAGTGATCTGGTGCACACGGCTTGTGTCTGAAATCCACAGGGTGCACTGGTTGCCCAGCTTAAGGGTTGTTCCGGATGACATAGAGGTCTAGCTGTATTTCAACTTACAATTTATTTGGCAATAAAATTACATTGAGCTGCCTGGTCTGACAATGAATGTTTTTACTGGCACAAAAATAGCATGACATACCAAGCAATGTAGGCTTACAAATACCTGTATTATAACATTAAATATACAAATGTATACTCTATATATAAATGTAAATGTAACTGTTTATATATTCAACATAGATAACTTATATATTTAATATATTATTTACAACATAATTCTACACTGACAGTTTTATTACATTAAAATAATAATTATGCTTAACCTTCAACATTGTATCTTACCTTCAGTGCATGCCTGTTCTTGATTTTGACAGCTCCTAGACTCACCACATGCTCATCATCTAAGTCAAAGTCACTACGATTCCGAAACAATTCCACATGATCACTACTCCTACCTTTGTCATTCATCAAGTCTAAAAACGAAACCACCAGCAGATTGTAGACAGCATCTGGTAGGAAGTCTGTAGGAGTCACATAAATCGAAACTGTTTGCTGCTCATCTTCCTTAACTTCCAAGCCCTCTTTATTGATTTGCATCCGAGTGGGAACCATGAACATTCGGTTACCAGGTTGAGATCCCTTTGAAAACATGAGCATTGATGTAGCATATTATGAATCGGTGCAGTAGTAAAGCTTTGGAAAGAGAGTTTGTCTGGTCAAATTGCTTGTGTCCTTGGCAAGACACTTTATTTACATTTGAATCTTTTCACCTGGGAATATGAATAGGTAGGCCTACCTGGTATGAGGTGAGTGATTTGGAATATAATTGGTAGTGCAGAATCACATGTATAACTATACAAAATACTCCCCAGGCAGAGAAGTATCAGGTGACACTTTTTGCATAATTTTGGAGTGGAGTTGAATAGCTCAGTTGCTAAGATGCTTGCCTTCTGATCCCAGGGTCCTGGATTCAATTCCCGTCACGGCAGGTCTTTTTCTCACGAACAAACTAACTGCCTAAGCCTTAAAGAGACTTATAAAGCATCATTCTCATCCTGTAAGTGGCGAAATTTATTCGCTGTTGGATGTGAAATAAGAAATAAAAAAATAAAATAAAATAATAATTTAAACTGCATCCAATAAAAAAAAGCTACTTCAGTGGATTTTTCTGAAATGAATATGTGCGCTACAGGGGTACAAGTCCTATAAAATAATGATTTGTCTCTCCGCCACTCCCGACACTCTTCATTTCTTCCCGTTTCTTGTCACAATCCCGTTTCGCTTCTTCTTTTTCTTTTACACTCCTTGAGGCTTGCCTATTCTCCCTCTCTTGACCCGTCTTCGATTTCCCAGTTCTCATCAAAATGTTTTCAACAACCGACAATTTCATTTGTCTATTCGCCTCTCCTATTAACCTTGCCCACAAATTGTTGGAAATATATTCATATTTATACTGTATATATTTCGTAATTTTTTGGTGTGTGTATCTGTGAATGTTATCCTTAATGGATTTTGTCCCTTGATGGCATTTGAAGAATAAAATTGAATTGAAAGTATAAAAATAATAATTATTGTACAAAAATTATGCATATATATATTATGAAAGAGTTTCTTGTGCTAAACCATAAGTACCAGCTTACCTTTTGCTTCTCAAACAGTAACCCAAACATCTTAAGCAGTTCAAGGAATACCTCAAAGTTGCTAGGATCTTTCTCTATCTCATGTCTCCACAAATGACGTAGCAACTTTTCTTGTAAAATTCCTTCACTGTCGAGTTTATTCCATAAATGCATCAGTGTAGGCAACTACAAGAAAATATGAACAATAAGATGCATGTGACTCCTCATTAAGCAACATAAAAAATAAGATATATAGGAGATTGTTATATTGCTTACCTTGTCAATATCATCTGGTTTCACTACTGTAATGATTTTTGTCAAGAGATCGATCATCATGCGTAAGTTCGTAATAACCGTGTACTTTAATTTCTCATTAGTCTTAGAGTACAGAATTATTCCAGTGTCGTTTAGATAATCAAGGACAGTGTTGAGCGTTGTTTTAGAAATTCCACATTCAGATGCAATTTCTGCAACCTTAAATGTTGAATGAGAAGAGAATTCCATTCAGTAAACAAATGCATGCAAGAAATATATACAAAACACAAAAAGTACACAAGATAAACCAATGTGATGGAACTTTGCAGTTACAATCATTAAATTTGATTTATATCGGAAAAATTAAAACTATAAATTTTAATGGCTCATTTAAAGGAACCACTTAAAGTAATCAATTTTCATAAAATCACGGATCAGGAAGCAAGAGGAATAGAATTTATGCGATGGGTAGTGTTGGACTTTTGGATCTAATTTGCGTAATTTAAATCATATTCATCAAATAATATTTAGTTATAAATATTATAAGGAAGCATATTACCTCATCTAAAGAAACATGAAGTCTTGTTTTTCCAACATCTTGTACTTTGGACTGGAAATCAACCCAGGTAGTGGGAATAGGTTTAGCCGTTGTCTTCATGTATCCTCCGATATTCTTCTTCAATTTCTCAATCCCTTCATCCTTAGCCACAGTGTTATCTACAACATACATCTCGCGATCTACATGGCTTTCATATGGTGTTCCTTTGACTTCATCAAATATTCTTTTGAACTTGGTTGTGATCTGTGAACAAAATTGAAAATACATAAGTAAATTTATTGAAGAATTAAAGAAAAAAATTACTATAATTCCATTATGAAACAGACAATGCCTCACCAACTTGTTCTTTTCTGACTCAGTCCCTAATAGTTTGTCTTTATGTGTGGCAACTAAACTGATTGTGGGTGAGGATATGCCATTGATCAACTTCCGTGTCCTTCCACGATAAGGTAGTACAGCATGTTCGTATATTGACCGCATCCAAAATACATTCATCTGAAGATTTGTCATTTCAAATTGTCCCTAAAAAGGTAAACAATAGCCACATAATTTTCAAAATGGTATGAGATTATTGATGCAATAAAACTAATTAAGGTTAAACATCTGCAGTGAAGACTAAGTGGTGTATTTACTTTTAAGAAATCTCTTGGGTTTGCTAGAGCATCCAAATCATCTAACACACTAAACACAACACAGTAAGATGATCCATCTGTCAAGAAAAACTGGAGAGAAAGAAAAAATTTAAAATCCAAAAATATTCAAATCATCACTGTTAAAACTGACCATTGAAAAAATGATTAAGCTTTCAAATTATAATTGCGTCAAATACCGGAATTCAACATACCACCAATCCTACAAAGGACTAAATAATTAAGAGATAAACCTGACGTGCGCGCGTTTTTGCGTGGGGGTGGGTGCACACACAAGTTTCAGTCAATCATTAATAATCAAGAAGTGACCCTCACCAAATTATATTGTTTTATTTAAATTTTATACATTTCAAATAACGAGTGTCTCAAACAATATTCCTACTATAAAATGGAACCATCTGCACATGACCAATGACAATATGCCTCGTAAACTCTGCTTGGTAAAAATTGAACAATTATCACAGGCACTTTGTTAGCGGCGGTTGACTAACAATACAGCAACACATTGCAAAAATCTTTAATACCAGAATAATTAGGAGAGAACTGTTATAGCATAGATATCAAATTATACTAGCATGGATTTAGTGGGTCGCCCCCCTGGAAAAGGTTGAGAAGCTGAGGGATATAGATGGTGATCTTCCAGTCAAGGCCTGAAATTTAGTTGATATTTAGGAGCTTTTTAAATAAATTCAATATTGTGATAATCAAACTAATTCTCATATAAAATATGGAGTTGTTTTAATTGGTACAAAAAATAATGGTGCCTTTAAAGAATTATAACCAAGGAAAATGAGCAGGGGTGGATCCAGGAAGGGGCACGAGGAACATCCCCCACTCACTTTCCATTAAAAAAATTTTCAATGCATATATTGAAATTAATTCTACTCACTTATCCATACTGAATATGTTGTGCCTCCCCGATTAAAGTCACATGTCAAATCAAAAGAAAACATACAATAATTTTGATGTGCTTCTTTCAGTGGAATTTATTACTCACCCTGTGAGATATATAATAGGTCAGTTGACCGGCATAGTCCCAAATGCATGTGACATCACTTGGTATAAAAATTTCCTTGTGATGTTGAATAGAATTTCTGCTAGGTACCTCTGCTGTTTGAAGTTGTTGACCAAATATGGCTCGACGAAATCGTTGAAGCAAACTGGATCTTTGATATGGCTGGTCAAAGAGGGTAGGAGGATGGAAAGTGTCAGGTACAGCAAGTTTAATAACAAGTTTCTCATGAATTCCTTCTGGGAGTTTCCTGGTATAGCGTGCACTTCTGGTTGCTTCTGATGGCTTCTGTATTAAACATTCAAGAATGACTAATCTATATCAGTTCAAATTTATGCAAAAATTTAAACCAGTTGTTCAGGTAATGTTTTTTTTATTAGGCAGAGAGCTAAAAAAAATACATATTAAAAATTTAAAAGAACATCAACTAAATTAATTAAAGTAATTTTTGAAATTATGAGAAATACAAATTCACCGATGAAGCAGCTGTAGAACTAGATGATGCAGAATTAGTTGTGTCTTGTTGGCTTTTTGGCTGTTTCAGCTTTTTGGCGAGATTTTCTGCGATGGCGTGCTCACGTATCTGCTTCGTTAGTTCACAAACTGTAAAATATAGAAAGGTTTTTTAAAAAAAATTGAATAATTTATAAAAATAAATTTTCAATTATTAAAATTATTTGTATTTTAAGAAAGTAAAATATTCATACAATCCGCATCCTTCTGTTCCTGCTATTTGCAAAAAAGAAGTTATCAAAATAACTTATACAAATAAAAATTTATAATATTTAAAGTTAAATTTTTAATTAAATTACTTATATTTCAAGAAAGTATAATATTCATACCATCCACATCCTTCTGTTCCTTCCATTTGCTGCCATCTCCATCAACCGTTTGAAATACTGTTGTTGTTACAATACCATCTGTTGATGGTTCCTTGTTGTTAAATCTATTCACATTTACATAAATATAATAATAAAATAAATTGAAGTAATGACAACAGTGTACATAACATGTTAAACTATCAAAACTTTCCAATATAGCCTTAGTTTTGCATTGTAAGCCTATAATCACAATCAAATACACATAGGATAATTAATACTGTATATGCCATGTTTTCATCCTTACATTAGTTTTATATAGAACATTAAATTAGTTTTTCAATAACAGTTGAAATAGCCATTTCAACAAGCTCTGGAGGCACTCAGTAACAAAATGGTGTCATATGTACTGTGCTATATTGATGTGTTGTGTGTGTGTGGTGTAGAATTGTATATAATGCATACTAAGTAGAAAATTAAACCCTTTTAAAATTAGAGTTATATCAAGAGCCAATGGGCAGAAATGCCCTTTTAAAATTCTTTAAACAATTGCAAAAAAATCCTGGATAGTCAGTCGCCTAGGAGAGTAATGAACCTATATGAACCTACTGTATATACTATAAAAATATTGTAATAAGACAAAAGACTGTACAATTACCTAAAAAACAAGGCCTTATTTTGTACTTACACTTTGCCAAGCATGGAACGGACACAACTCGTTTTGCCCACCCCTTCTTTCCCAAGGAACATGACTCTTTCTAGAGCATAAACAGGTCAAACAGAAAATAACATTAAAATAAAAAGCTATAAGAATAATAAAGGAACTGAAATATAAGAGTACAAATGTATAGTATTCTTATGAACTATATGCATATCACAGGATTTACTTTTGCCCTTTGACACGACCTCCAGATGACAATGATTGATAATTTGTTACTTACATTGTACATTAACCTTTTTAATTTTGTAGTATTTTTTGCCTCAAACTTTCAAAATGTTAAGTGAAGTTGATTTTTTTTAAATTTTTGTTTACTTTATTTTTCTATTCTTTTTACTTTTGATTCATTGTTGTTGTGAAGAATGCAGATAATTTGATCAATGTTTCCCCTAGGTCTATGCTACAGCCAGACTACTGAAATAACCGTAATGCTGTAAAAATAAATTATAATAGTTGGACTTGTATGGCACATCCATGCAGAAAAGCCTCTATGCATGGATCGCATCCATCGAGTGCATGTAATAGGTGTAACTTTGTTTTTACTGTTTCTTTCAGTGACAAGTTTTGTGGGCAGTGTACACTTGCAATGGGATATACATGGGAGATCCAGAGATATTAACAAGGGGGCAGGGGCTGAGTCCAAAACATCAGAAATCTTTTTTCTCTAGAAGTACGAGGTGGTATTTCCAGCATCTTGCAGGAGCGATTACTGTCATATAATTGTTTTGGATTATTTAGGATACGCTGTTGTGCCATTGCTTGATTTTAAGCATAAAAATCATAATAAAATACAGTTTAAAATATTGAGCTTTCCATGAATATTAAAAATATATATTGTATATTTACAGGTATGTTTCATTTTCATCTTATGCAATACTTGGTTAAAATTAATTTAAATTTACAATAAAATTGACATGATTGACTAATTAAATATTTACCATATTTCTTCCACTTTAAAAAAGGCATCCTAAAAAAAGGGGATGGAGTTAGGACCCACAAGACGTCCACTAAGGTGGCGACCAACCAGCTATTAGTACTTAAGGTATAGCCATGCCTAGAAAGCTATATGTAGCTGAGGCTTATGACATGGTTCTTCCAAATAAAGCAAGCTCTGTGATTTTTGCCAATAGGTTCAGGAATATTCATAGGTAAGATAACTTACCTATAAGCAATTTTTTAAGTTCATCTTTCTTTTCCTCCTTTGTTGATACTTCGTATTTACTACATTTATTACGATCATAATAATCAAGAGGTGTATTCCCGTCCTGTAATAACAAGATCATACGAAAAATTATAGTATATTTCACTGGATGGCAGCTGCACACTACATCAGCAGAACAAAGGGAAATATTTTAGCTTTGAAGATTTATAAATGATAATGGTGAAAATAATAATTCAATGGATAAACCAACACTATCAGTATCACAATATTTATATCATATATTGGTACAAGAATAAGTGATGGAATTCATTCGTATAGAATGGAATCAATGCTCTTTTGGTTATTAGGAATGTTTGTATTATTGTAATAAAGACATTGACTAATTCTTCTGAATCATTTCTTTTTTCTATACATTACACTATCTTTTTGGTAAGCTGAGGCACCATATGTTATCAAGCACAATGCCATTTCTCGCTGTTCATCATAAGTACCCTGAGCACGTAGACAGTAATGTAGTGGTGTTTGTCCAAAAACGATACGACCTACAAAATGATACTCAATGTCAGAACACATGAAAACTAATTACTGTATATGACATAAAAGTAAACCGAGATGAAATAATGCAGTGGCGGATCCAGGAATTTGAAATAGAGGGGCCCAGGACAGATGGAGGGTCTATAGCACCTCAGCCCCACCATGGTTGGGGCTAAAATAAGAAAATTTACAATTATGGCACCTCTAGATAGTTGGAAGTGAAACTCTCGGACTTAAAATTTGAAAATTTTCTTTTTTTCTCCAATTTTTGAAGGGGGGCACATTCTCCATTAAATTGAAAAATTTAAAGGGGGGTGGGGGAGGCTGGGCCAGTGTAATATATAATTATTATTCTGAATGATCACTTACTGTAACTGTATTAATAATATTAAAACAATGATTATAGTAACAACAGTAATAACAACAACAATAATGACCAATATAAGAGGTCCTCATAGTGGTGACACCAAGAGGTAATCATTTTTTCCAAAGAGTGCACTGCTTTGGTCAGCAGAAAATAATAATAATGAATAATTATAAGATCTAGAAAGCGCACATACTGTATCCACTGCAGTAGCGCTCAAGGTGCTACAGGAGGAGAAACCAAAATTAAATTGAACCTTAAATCTGAAACACCACACACATCATTATTGCTTTTATGCCTTTTTGCTTGGAATTTTGAGACCTCTTTTATCCCATTTTTACCAATTTAACTTTTATAATTTTAACCTTTATATTTTAACATTTTATGATGTAATGTATGTTTTGTGTATTTTAGTAAGTGATTGCATCATTAATTATATATACTGTCTCTTTATATATATATATATATATATATATATATATTATATGCATTCGTACTCATTTTATATATATATATATATTTATATATATACATATATCATTGTAAATCCACATGTGTTCTTCAAATTATATATCAGTCGTTGAAACAAAAAATTATGACAAGGCATGTAGACTATGAACACTGTATTTATTTTTTAAAGAAATTTTCGGCCAGTCCTCTGGCCTTCATCAGCTTTACTGAATGCAAAAGATTGGCTGTTGCAAGTTGTATACTGTACAATATAAACAATACAATAGTGATGTAGATGGATTATAGGACAATTATCTAATCTTTTATGCTGTAATATACAAAGTGAAATCTTACAGCGATCAAAGTGGTCAAGTATTGAGATACTTTTGTTGAAGATTAAACAATTCTTAACTAAGCGTACATAGTAGAATAATATGGTGGGAAGCAAAACTAGCTACACTATTGGAAGGTTCTTACTGGTGCGGATTGATGATTTGCGATTATTAAATCTACTTTTAAAAGAGGCTCCAGTTTTACCGATGTAGGTGCCATGATCACATGCATTACCAATTATGATGTAAATCACGTTGGTGGTCGAGTCACATATGTGAGTCGAGAGGGATGAATTTTGTGGTTAGTGACTTGGAGTGTCATTGTGTCGTTAGTGATATGTGTGCATATTTGACAGCGAGGCTTATTATATTTAATATTGCCATATGAAATCCCTCCTCACGTCCTCACACATCACCACTAAACCTCCGTCATTTAATAATCAGAAATCATCAATTCGTACCAGTACGAACCTTCCAATAGCCACACATTTCAATTCTCCTAATAAAAACATCAATGATTTGAGATGTGTACTCATAGCCAATAATTTTAAATCTCTCAACGATCACTGCATTTCCAAACTCAAACTTATATTTAAAACAAATCCACACCATAGGCCTCAAATAAAATATAGATTTTCTCAGTGATTACAACTTCCCATACAATTAATTACCATCTCTATTCAGTTCACAATTGACATTTTATATACTTTCTCTATTAACACCATACCATTATTTTGATATGTCTATTTATATGTATATATCTTTATCTGTACATTGTATAAGCCTATTTATAGGCATATAGGTTAATATATTTTTAATTTATATATTCTACCATTTACGTTTTAAGATTTTATATGATTCACTTATAAGTAGTTAGGTTGTTCTACTATGTATGCTTAATTAAGAATTGTTTACTCTTTAATACCACTATCTCAATACCTGACCACTTTGATCTCTGTTGAATTTTACTTTGTATATTACAGCATAAAAGATTAGATAATTGGCCTGTAATCCATCTACATCAATATTGTATTGTTTATATTGTACAGTATACAACTGCAACAGCAAATCTTGTGCATTCAGTAAAGCTGATGGAGGCCAGAGGACTGGTCGAAAATTTCTTTCGAAAATAAATACAGTGTTAAATAGTCTACATGCCTTGTCATAATTGTTTGTTTAAATGACTGATATATATCAAAACCAAAAAAATAAGAGAATTCCAAAGTCAAGATGTGAGGTAACAAATGCATGTATATTGCACAAGTGATATGTTGAGGAGCTGTTGATTTTGGGAATGTGCTAACTCAAAGTCATTGAAGAATCAAGCATAATACCCAAATTCTATACATGAGGTACCGGTACTTGATCGATCTGACATTCCCCAATGTTGATGTGGAGGTCTTGGCATTTTTTCCTTTGTTGAGGGGAACAAGACGATGAATTCTGTCTTGTGCTCATTTACTTTTAGAAGTTTTCGGACATCCAAGTTTTCAACTCAGAAATACAATTGCTGAGAGATTCAATCTTCACATCAAATTCTTCAGCAAGTTTAAAAGAAATATAGATCTGTCTATCATCAGCATAAATATGATAAAAAAGGTTAAAATTTAACGAAAACTACTGAGGTCCCAAAATTGAACCCTGAGGAATGGAATAGTTCAAAATGAAAAAGTTTGACATGGAGTTGCCAAAAAAAATTCTTTGTGGACACAACAGTAGCTACAACCAGTTTAGCTGACTCAGGTTTGTGATTGAATTTGATGATATTAACTTTATTTACCGTCGAAGAATATTAGATAATCTCCTGTGTTTATTTTGCTTGCAGACTTTTCCAATGCACATCTCAATGCTGATGTATACATATGCTTTGCCAAATAACTGATAATAGTTTCACCCTCCTAAAAGACAAACATAAAATAAGGTAAAGGATTACAAACATACCAACAACACACATAACTAATCACAATAACATGTCATGTCATTAGCTGCACATATTTAATAATTTTATAGATAAAGATTACATAATTCAATGTTTTTTATGGATGATTTTCAAGTAAAACCATGCATACAATATAATAATTAAAAAGACAGCTTCACTTCTTCTAAGACACAATTTCAATTTATATTTTGAAGCAAGACTAATTGTGATACAGTATAACATTTTTCTTGTGAACAATATAGCCAGTAAATAGTATAAATTATTCTATAAACATGATTATCTCTCATATAAAAAAAAAATCAAATTTAAATATTATATTTTGAAATGATGATCATAGGCTGGCTACTCAGTGAAAATAAAACAATAAAAATCTCACTTTTAGTCTAGAATGAATAATTAACTATAATTTATTATATAATATACATACACGTTTTGTTTTTTGAATATTAAACATACAATGCTACTGAATTTACCAAGTTTTCATGTTCTATATTTTCTACTGTTGCTTTTTTAACCATCAGTAGAATCAAGTCTTCTGGTGCAGGCTGTACCTGTCTCATAGCATATAATAATGGTGTGCTTTTCTATAAAACAAACATACACATACAAATGTACAAAATAACAACATACCTGCATCAAACATTCAAATTGTTGGTAGGTTGGCTCATTGTTTACAAAATTGTAAGCAATCTGTATTGCGTAAAACACACATAAAAACATTCCTAATTCACCCCTTCTAATCAGTGTAAATTTGGGTTGAGGGGATCAGTTTACACAAGGAGATCAGAAAATGCAAGTACAGTAATCTTAAAAATAAATGCTGGCAAGGCCAACTACATGTAACACTTCCACCCACACAATGTTTGCTAGGGTTTTGTGGTCAATCATAATCCACCATAGAAGTACAACGTTTTTTAGGAATGTTAGAAAAAAATCTTGCTCTATCGTAGCAATGGGAAAAAAACATAGTTTACTACAGCAGAGAGAGAGTTATACCTTTGTTGTTAAATTGATGTGGTTAATCTGTTAACTCTTGTTCATTTATATTCACTGCACTGATTTGTAGTGGCCACAATATCTTGGCAATGACAAGCCACGATTTGTTACGGCGCAGTTTTGGCAGTTGTGTTTTCCATTTTAGCAAAAAAAGTTGGGTTTGGCTGGGAATCAGTTGAGAGGATAAAGAACAAATTGGAAGGGAACTGGGTAGGGTGGAGAAAGAATGTAAATTTGAATGTGCAAATATTGAAATCACTGTACAAAGAACAGTTGCACAGATGGACCATCATAAGCACTGAATCCTCCTAGCTGAGGATATTACACAAGCCGTGGCCTACACAAGCCTAACACAGCTAATAATTACTAAAACGAAAGCTCTGTCCACACTATACAAAGTTCTTTAACAAAAAACTGTTGTATGCCCATATTATAGTCATCATGTGCCCAAATATGGTCACAATGTGATGTCATCATCACCATATTTGGGCATGTCACATTTTTTGTCAAATAAAATTTGAGAATCTGGACAGGTGTTAAGGCAATGTTTGGGACTACAGTAACTTTAGGCCTGAGGTGAAGAACCAATAAAATGATAATTAATCACTAAACCACACCCAGAATTTTATATAATCAGCTGAATACACACCCAACTTTCGTAAGTGTTAATAAGGTTGGGATGTTCTTCACAGACACGTCTTACTTCTTGCCAGTCACGGTGTCTAATAGCCTCAAAGAACACATTTCTGTGAAATAATGCACAAGCAAAGTTTTAAACTGAATAATACATTATATTTTCCTTTGACATGATATTTAATACAGATTACTTTCATCAACCGTGAATGATGAATTTTAATATTCGACATCATCACCTGGCCCATATCCAGAGGGTGTGGACACATCCCCCACATCGGAAAATGTCCATATTTTTAAGACAATTGAGACTGTACTTCCTTAAAATTGCAATCCTGGACATGGCCTGATCACTATCGTCATTGTCAACAAAATTTACGAAAATATTTTAATAAAAACAGTTTTTATATTTTAATTCAAAAAGTTTTCATTAACATGAAAATAAAATATAGATATAATTAAGTACAGTAGTACTAAAATCAAACTTTATGCTTATTTTTTTCTTTGTTCCAAGTCAAAAACATTTTTGTTTTTGGATCAACATAAAAAGAAATCCTACCATACTGATCCAGATGAAATGATTGTAAAACAACATGCCAATCCATTAAACTAGAATCAATTTGAAAGATATTTTGTTCTATCCAAAATGTTCAATGGTACAGTACAATACTCACTCATAACGCTGATAATCCATGGTTGTTTATCAGTGCCTCTTTAGGTGTGTGCACAGTATGGATGCTGTATTGATTACTGAGATGCTGTGAAGTATAACAATCGTGCATTACAAGCTGTATGATTGCCCGTTTTCATCTTCTAATTCCGGACTTCGGTATCAACTTTCTGTATCAAAAGCATGTGTTTGTATAGATTTTAAAACAATTGTGAGAATTAACCAGCATCTAATACTAGTATGAACTAAGGCAAGCCTACGGGTATACTAGATGTGATCATATCCTAAACCTAGTAAAAGTGCACAGGGGAGGAGTGTTGGAAGGAGTATATTCCAGCTCAATGGCTGTAACCACCCAGTTCACTTAAACAAATTTTGTGAATGATAAAACAATGGCCTTCACTGGATATGGTAGCTTGTCCTAAGCTACCAATTGAAAAAGATGAAATAGTGGGAATGAAATATGTGGCAGTGAGAAAGTCAAGGTTTGCGTTAATGTAATTCAAACCATTCAAAGCCAATACATTCACAAACAACATCATTGGACAACAGACTCCCAGCAGGTATATCTATGCTGAATGTCAGTTTTGTATTTTCTTTTTTTTTTACTGATTCTTAATGGCGGGTCTGTCTAATCATGGCAGTTACTGTGTTAAACATGCATGAAACACAATCCAAAACATAGGTTCACCTGGTATTGCCAGTCAATTTTGGAATAGCAAATAAAAATATGATTGTAAAGAAAGCACCCTACCTATCTTTATTATTTTTTGGCCAAAAACCAAACCTAACAAATAGATATCAAAATAAATTTGTACCACTATCCACTAAAATTCTTAATCAAAATATCAAATAAGTTTAAATGCCTAATTATAATTATCCTGCATTTTGTTTTGTGATGTGATGTACCTACTGATTTTCCGACAGGAAAATATCATCTTTCCACCCATAAGGATGGTTTTTTTGTTTAATTATTGTCTCTCATTAGTATAGGGGATAGTGTATAAATTCCACTGATAATAATAATAAATCTTTATTTGAAACTTCACTTTTAAAACAGTGGCACACGATTATGATGCGTTCATAAGACGGGATAAAACACTGCACTGGAAAATCTGTTAAATGAGGCCTTGCTCTCCATTGGTACTTGAAGACTTGGCATGCATCAAGGGGGTGGTTTTATTACAGAAAAAAAAACCACCTGCTTTCAGACATTATTTTTTTTTTTTAAAGGGCAATCAACAACTTGTTTTTTTTTTACATGGCCTAACTGTAGAGTAAATATTAAAACAGTATCAAGAAGTGCAAATCAATTAAAATGTGTCACTATAAATGCCTCCCCACCCCTGGATCCCTGTCTCTTCAAACAACACACATTTTTTTTTTTTCAACATGGTATATTTATTCAAAATTCAAATTAAGACATAAAACATAGCAGCCAAAAGGCTGAATTGCGAATTATGTTAACAATTAAAACCATTAAAAAAATCAAACAGCAAAGATAAAAAAACAAGAACATCAAAAAAGAGAAAAATATTGCAAAAGGATCGATATTTTATCCAATTCGTCATTATTATTATTATTGTTATTATTATTACTATTAATTTATTTAGTTATGAATACAAATATAAAAAAGATCAAAAAACATCATAACAAGTAGATCAAAAAATGAGAAAAAAGGATTGCACAAAGATCGAAATTTGTCATTATTATTATAATTATTATTATTGTCATTATTATTATAGTTAAGAAAAGTAAAACAAATCAAATAGGACATCATAACAAAAACATCAAAAAGAGAAAAAAGATTTCACCAAGGTCAAAACATAATCATTATCGTTACAATTAAGAATATTATAATCAATATTATTGTCATTATTATTTATTATCCTTATTATTATAACTGTAATTAAGGATTGTCATTAAAAATATCAAGAAACATAACAAATGAGAAAATCACAAATATCAGAGAAAAATTACAATATAGAAAAATACATTGGATAAATTGCACAGGGACCAAAAAGGAAGGCAAGGGGGAGGGGGAATCACTGAAACGCAAAAGGGCAAAGCATGCACCAAACCCCCAGGGGGAGAAGAAAGTTATTAATTATTAATCATTGGAGTTAATTAAGTTAACATATGTTTAAATTTGACCTCAATGATTCTACTTTCTGATGATAAGCCGTCACACAGCTACCCATTTATTAACAGATGAATAAATAGTAAAATAGTATTAAAAAAAAGTGCAATCTACTAAAATGTGCATGATTTAGGCCTTAGTACCCCTGAACAGTTTGCAAATTGCCTGCACAAATGTGGCAAGACAAGCAAAACCAGTCACTCATCGCAAATCCTGCTTCAGAGATACTGTAATAGCCAAAACATGCTGGAATGTCAACATTTTTAAAATCTTGAAACGCAAAAGGGCAATAGCATGCACCAAACCCCCAGGGGGAGAAGAAAGTTATTAATTATTAATCATTGGAGTTAATTAAGTTAACATATGTTTAAATTTGACCTCAATGATTCTACTTTCTGATGATAAGCCGTCACACAACTACCCATTTATTAACAGATGAATAAATAGTAAAATAGTATTTAAAAAAAGTGCAATCTACTAAAATGTGCATGATTTAGGCCTTAGTACCCCTGAACAGTTTGCAAATTGCCTGCACAAATGTGGCAAGACAAGCAAAACCAGTCACTTATCGCAAATCCTGCTTCAGAGATACTGTAATAGCCAAAACATGCTGGAATGTCAACATTTTTAAAATCTATTTTAATACAATAGTAATACTGGCAACCCTCCAGTGAAAAGTCATCAAGGCAGCACACAGCCTAGGACACTTAGGCATGACAAAAACTAAGCAAATGTTAAGAGAGAGGTATTGGTTTCCATTGATGAACACAATGACTGAACAATTGATAGGGCAATGCTATGAATGTGGAGTCACCACCAAAGCACACAATCAAGAACCTATCAAGATAATGCCAATACCAGAGAGACCGTGGGATGTAATATCAGTTGACTTCGGAGGACCATACCCTAACGGGCACTACAATCTTGTTGCCGTAGACAAGAGAAAAAGATACCCAGAAGTTGAAACAACATATTCAACAGCATTTCAACCTACCAGGGACAAACTAAAGAAAATGTTTGCTACACATGGAACACCAAGAAGAGTCGAAACAGACAATGGACCACCATTTAACCCCAAACAATTTGAGCAATTTGCGATGGTGGAAGTCTTCACGCACCACTTAGTAACACCAGAACATACTTGAGCAAATGGAGAAGCGGAGAGCTTCATGAAAACCCTGAATAAGACTGAACAAATTGCACATCTACAGGGAGTAAACACGAACACAGCAATTCAAGAAATGTTAACAGGATACCGATCAACACCTCATCCAGCTACAGGCATAACCCCGTATAATGCATTGATGAACAGACAGATCCGAACCAAATTAGATTATGAACCACGAGAGACTACAGCAATACACTGGGATACCATAATGGAGGAAAGAGACAGAGCATACAAGGACAAGCTTAAGCAACGATCTGAAAACAGGAACACAAGAGAACACACATTTGTGGTAGGAGACTATGTACTTTTGAAGCAAACCAAAAGAAACAAATGGACCACTGCTTATGAACCAGCTTTTTATGTCATATACCGCATAGATGGTTCATCAATCGCAGCTAGAAGAATCACTGATGAAATTCAAACTTGCAAATGCATTTATACAAAATCCTGACAGTGAATTAGAGAATGAAACGGACGACTGGAGAGAGAAAGTACTACTAGAGGCACACCAACCCATAAATGAAATGGAGCACCAACCAAACCATGAAAACATGGACCAATCACAACCTACGGAAACACCAACACCAACAACACCGATAACCAGACTACAAAGGAATAGACAGAGACCTACATACCTGAAAGACTATATCTTATAAACTAAATTATTGTATATATATCAATACAGATCATCAATTATCAAAAGCTATATAAAAGCTATATAACCCACTAAAGAACAGAAAATGCAGGCATTCATAAATTATTCCAAACCACATAATCAATAAACCTATGTTACGATTTAAGCTGTTAAATACTTAATGCAATTACTATAGGAAATACATCCAGCAGAGAAAAATCAATGTACTACAGTATAGTAAATCACAGAAAATACCAAAATCGCTAAAATATATAGATTAGCTAAAGTGGATAAAGTTAGAGATCTCTTAAAGAAAAGGAGAAATGTGATATCCTATGTAGCGCCCTCTGTTGAGCGCAGTTACTACCTCGTTGACGGCGGAGAAGTATTAAAATGTTATTAGTTGAGTTCTAACTATAGCCTCTGTGTATCATTTAATATTACACACGGGATGTTTCATGAACCATGGTCCTAGAGGTTTGATAGAAATAAATAGGCCCTACAATAATAATTAATTTGTAATAATGGTACAGTAAAATAATAAAATAAATTATAGTGGGCCTAAGAATGGTAATAAAATAGTATTGGGCAATGTTAGTTAGGATTTTGCTTGTTGTACAGTTTTGTAATCATCTTTTTAGTTGTTATTATTGTATATTCGACATCCAGGTGGCAAAACCTTGGATGAAGATCTAAGAAAGGCATGTATTAATCTTACAGCCTCATATTCTGTAAATACACAGATAATTTTTTCCCCTAACGAATGTGTTGAGGTCTTTGAGAGCATGACCTAAGCCTGCCTCTGCAACTGGAACCACCACTTAATTTCAATTCTTGTAAAATTAGAATTTGTTGAAAAATGACAGAAAAAAGTAGCATGATAAGTGCTTAGAAGCCCGGAAGGGTCCTGACAAGGCCAAGGAGCTAAAACAAAGTTGCATTTTGAGGCATTCATGAACCGTGAAATAATTTTGTCAATAATCTATTTAAATTACCATTCATGTTGGTGATTGTTAGTCCCTGGTATCCAAACTATCGATCACAACCCAAGTTAAGCCAAAATATTTTGCAGGGTTGCCAGA